GACAAGGGAAATGTTAAATGTCTGTTAGTATTTTATATTTTATTTAATTTTTGAATGAATAGTCAAGATAAAACATGAGTAGCAAGAAAGAAAAATAAAGCAAAATGCACTAAAATAAAGAGTAATCCATTTATGATCAACCAGGAGTTCAGTAAGAATTTATCCCGTTGGTTTCACAATTCTTGGGGGAATGACAATGTTTGGAAGTACTTTGTGTTCAACAACACTAAATGAAACAGATATAAAAGTATTGAGTAGTGAAAGACATGCTTTGAGCTTGAATTTTCAACTACAACTACTCATTAACTGAACATTCTATCTTATTTTCCACTTGTACTTCACTTTTTCACTTGGCCCCTTTCACCACAGAAACTTAAAAGAAACAAAGAACCATGAAGTAACATTTGCCATTTGACAAATCTGATTAAGACAAAGGTGTTTACCACTGAGATCAACTGTACTCACACACTCCATCTTAAGTGTACATTTTGTTAGACAAAATACTCCTATCTTTTCCCAGAAGGAACCCAAACCATTGTCCACTGGAAACAGTTATGTTTTAGAATGTTAAACATTGCATGAGGTTATAAAATACAAAAATAAGTGCTGGTTTTGGACTAGATTTCAAAAGTTTTGGAGTATGTGTTCCAAAGATAATTTAGAGTTCTTGTCTCAATTAAAGTAAGATGTTGTATATGGTAAGAAATAACTTTTTCATAACTTACTGTACTAACCTAGCCATGATGACCAGATCCATTTAATACCACAATTTAATTAAACCCCCAGATTAGGCAGTAGTTGAAAATACAGACCACTCTGTAGAGTAACATGTATTTGACAGGTTTTATTGCTCTTCATCCCAACAAGCAAACTAGAATCAAACTGTAACTATAACTTGTTGTTGTTTGAGATAGGGTCTCTCAATACAGCCCAGGTTGTGTTGAAGCTCATTATGTAGACTCATTGTGTAGTCAGGTGGCCCTTGAACTTGTGGTAGTCCTCTTGTCTCAGCCTCCAAAGTTCTAGGACTACAGGCATGTACTAACAAGTCAGCTGGTAATTCAGTTTTGATTGACATTTTTTTTCTGTTGTGAATTTTCATTTCATCCTAAGAGAAAATAACTCCAGTTTTTAAATTAAAAAGGATTTTATTCACTTTATATTTGTGAGTATTTTACCTGTGAGTATAGATATACACCATGTGTATGCCAGGTACCTGTAAAGGGAGGAAGAAGGTATCAACTCTTCTGGAACACGAATTACAGATCGTTGTGAGTTTCCATATGGTTCAGGGAAATGAACCCTGGACCGCTGTAAGAGTAGCCAGGGCTCTTAACTGCTGAGCCATCTCTTTAGTGTCAAATCTCCACAGTTTTGTAAAGTAGAATAGCATATATCATCATAGCTGACAATTAATATTTGCTTATCAGAAAATATGTTAAGCATTTGTGATATAGAGTCTAAGAGCAGTGACCTAGGTTGTAGAAAGTTCAGGACACATTTATTTCAAATAGTTTTTATTCACAGAGGACTAGAGGAAAAGCTAATCATTAGAAAACCCAAGACATAAAGGACATCATTATTCTTTTTAAGGAGCAGTGACATTAACATCAACAGTATTTTGGAGCATCACATTGTTTCCAAATCCAAAAGAATAGGAAGCAGAAAGAAGGTGAGCATTCTGAAAGCATGTTCATCAATGGTGCTGTTGTTATCTATTTAACCTTTATTGGGCAATTTTCTTGCACATCTGGGAACATACCACTGCCAGAACAACTTTATGTCTGGCAATGTTTATTTTCTTAGCAGTTCGGATGACAGATTTTGATGAAGGCCAAAAACATTAAGGGAAAAACTATTTGGTCACAGAGGATAACCAACTGATCTTATTACAGTAGTAGATACAAGACCACGATACAAAAGGCAAGTCCACATCACACGAACCAGAAAGTCCACATTCTCTGCACTCACTCCAATAGTCATGGTCTAGCATTTAACCAAAATGGTAAAAAATAAAAAAAAATGCCTGAATTGCCTAATTGATTTAAAGTATCAGGATATTTGTTTTGAATGACTCAGATTGCCAACAAAAGGGTCACTCATTTTTGACAGCACACTTGTGAAGTTTAGCCAACTCTGGAAAGACAATTTCATCTCACCCTGCTTCTGTGAAAGTCTGCACTGGCAGAGTCATCAGAGAAGAGTCTGAGAATCTTACAATGGAACAAGAGAGAACGAACTGTTTCCCTTCTGAAAATAGCCTTTGCATACATATGGAAGTAAAATTTCTCTTCAGGTTATATAACTTTTAATTCTTTTGTGATTTTTGTTATTCCATTTCTACTAAATGTTAGTTAATAAAGAGCTCAATTCAGACACTACTGCAACAATCAGTGCTATAAAATGCCATCTCCTTGAAAGGGCAATGGGCCTGATCACAGCAACCCTGCAAACAACTGTCCACATACATGTGGCATTGTAATGTGCCCTTCATATGCTTAAAGACCTAATGAGAAAATTAAAAGGACTCAATTTTTATTTAATATGTCAGACATTCTTATAGCCAAAATCCATAGTCTTCTAGTTTCTCCTTTGCCATTTTTCCCTTCAGGTAGTCATGTGTACTTGATGGTTAATCTCACTTAAGTGTCTTCTAAAGGGCATGGAGGGTTTGTGCAATCTTCCCTGTGTGCTATCTGTTATTACTTGATTGGATGGTAGCAAAAATGGTGGGAGACATTTGACACAAAAATAAAATCCTACATTAACAAAAGACAGTGGCAAGCCCCAAGTAAAGAATAAATCCAAGCTTGGATCCTTTTAGGTGAAGGTAGATAAGTCATGTATCTCTTCATAAAGAATAAATAAGTGAAGACACATATGCCAAGTGGGGTTTCAGAAGAGAAACTTGGAGGGTAGTTTCTGCTTAGGAAACAAAGTAGAGAGAACTCAGAAATTATGCTGATTGTTTAGATATTTCAAACTCTTTCATCCTAAGTACTTTAAAAATCTAAACTATCCACAGAGATGACCTAGTGATCTGGCTTCATCAAACTGACAAGTCACCTTCTGAGGCCATGTGTCAGGAGCATCAGTGAATGAGTTTACTTCTGTTGCTTTGTTTTGCCTTATTATCCAACATCGAATATATATTCTCAAGTTGATTTTAAAACTTCACATTTTAAAGTGAGAAGGTCTTTTGCAAGCCTTTTAAGCCTTTGGTTTTCTTTTAGTTAATTTCCTCAACTACAAAAAAGAAAGAAAGAGCTAGCAAATATAATTGGCATAAATTTCTCTAAAACATCAAGAAAATGGAATTTACAAAGAAGTTTATTACAATTATGAGTCTAGATTGACTTAACCCTTATGCAATGAAAGTAATTTTTACCTAATACTGAATTACATTCCATTTCAGATTTCCTATTTCAAAGGGTATCTTAAATTTCTAAGATGTTAGACAAGTCTCCAGCCATTTTTTGTATATGTAATAAAAGTCTTTAAAATTAAAATGGTAATCCTAAAAAAACCAAATGCATGAAAAATGTGGTCGGACTGTATAACAAAGGGGAGTTATATAATTCTACGTGAGTGAGATCTTTCATCTTTGATTTACAGGTTGGAGTCCTCTCTAACTGAAACCATATTGTTCCTTGTCTTTCATATCTTGGCTTTCCCTAAAACCTTGTTTTAATTAAGGTTTCTTTCAGATTTCTGAATAAAAGCATGACAATCTTCACTTATGGCTTTAATATATCCTTTAAGTTAGGAAAATATATAAAAAGAAACATCAGTGTTTAAAAGCGATGTCAGATATTAAATATGTGAGGCATTCTACCTCATTGTCTTTAGGTGTTTGAGTTATACACTGAAACACAATTTTCAGAGGCTGTGGCTAACTTACTCATATTTTATTTAGTAAGCTGTTTTTAACCTCAAAAATAAATGTCCTTTATTTTGAACCTTTGTTAGAAAGGCTACCTTTGCAAAGGGTAAGTCCTGTGTTAGTTTTCATGTGAAGACAGTTCCTAGCTTAGCCCCACTCAAAGGGACTTCAGGTCATTGTCATCTTCCCTGACACCTTTCTAAGATCTGGGGAATCCAGTGGCATTGCTTAAGACTAAAATAGTTTCACAAAAGAATCAAATAACAAAAGTGGGATTAACCTGAAAAGTAAAAAATATAAATCAAATACTAAAATCCCCTGGATGTCAGGGAAGTTGTGAGTGAGTTTTCTAAAAAAAGGAGGAAGCAGTGGTACAGAAAAACAAAGGTAAGAGAAAGTGTGCTAAATAGATTTGGAGCAAATTATAATCCTTGAAGAGTTATGTGCTTTTCAGGGACACCACATTTAAGAGATGCACCTCCAGAGCCACTATCCTCAGGATGGAGTTGCATGGGGATGGAGAGACCTTATTACCTGACAAAACTGCAGGTCCCTCTCCTGAGTGAACCTGAAAGTTCAACAAAATACTGCCCCATTGCCCATTGTAGGAGCAGGGTGCAAGCTCCTTTTGGACTTTCAGATACATTGTGATTTTTTGCTATTAGAACAAAGCATCATCCCAGCTCCATCTTGAACTTTTACCAGGAAGGAAGGATGTGTGTTAGAAAAAAGACAAAAAACAAAAATTCCTACAACTCACAGCAATCTGTCTGTAAATCCCATTTACTCATACCTGAAAAGAAACCCAGTAAACGATTTAAGTACATTTGAAAGTAAACTACACAGTAAAACACTGATGATAATGTCAGGGATGCGTATGTCTCTGCTTTTCCCTCAAAGTGTCACTGGCTGTCATAGTTTCTGATGTGGACAACATCTAGTGCTATATTGAAGTTCTGTAGCCCACACTGTGTCTGGGAGTGGGTCACCAGCAGAAAAGCATGCTGGAAGTAGTTTCTTCCAATCCTGGTTACTGTAACTTTAGAATCACAGTGGTTACGTTTCAGGAATCTGTAATATCCTTTCAAGTCCATCCAAAGAACAAGTGAAGCTGCTGTTCAGAATTTTGTGCCCAGTGTTTATGTTCCATCAAGCCATGCCACCCAGGCAGCAGACATGTCTGAGGGTGCTGGGGTTGGGGGGGATACACAATGATGTCACACACAGGAAATATCGGGGGAGACTTGGCACTTCACAGAGCTGGTTCCTCTTCCATGGGCTCACCAGCAGTTCTGTAAAAATAAACAGGCAATCAGAATACGGCCAAAGAGTACACAATGGCATTGTAGACTTTCATGCACAATCAAAGCTGATTTTTCAGCTCCCTCACATGTTTATTTGTGTCATTCAGTTATCCATAAATAGAGTTTCTTTCCTAGGCAGTATAAACAAATGTCAAGTGGAAAAACATTTTAGATCCAAGCAATCATTGGAAATGTTCCTGTTTATATTAAAACATGTCAGAATATTTTATAACTCTAGATTCCAAAATGTACATGTTTTGTGTCTTGGACAGTCCAATAATTTATTGAAAAAATTAGCTATGATATCCTACTTTATGAGCAATAGCAGTGATTTCTGGAACCATTTTTTGTTAAGGAGAGTGAATGATTCAGCTAGCTTCTGGAGCAGGCTCATCCACGCTCTGGGTTTTGCTTCTGTTTTTTTCATGACTGGATTGGCCTTCTGCCAGAGGCATTTCAAATCAAATTCTGAATTTGATTAGCAAATCACTGCTACAGACCTAACATTTTCATAAGAAATGCACTATGGTAGAATATAAATCGTTTGCATTCAGCATTATAAGTGGGGTGTTCTGCTCAGCTAAAAACCAAGGCTAATTGCTTGAAAATTATACTTGAGAGTTAACCTTAATTTAGTAACACATTGAGAGTGTTTTAAGGCAAACTTTTACAATGATTTTTAATTCACTCTAAAGAACAAACTATTGCAAGAATCCAAATGTGTTAGTTAATTGGGGTGTTTGGGAAGTTGGATTAGGGTAATCCAAGATTCTGGAATGATTGAGGTTGAGCTGAACTCTAGAGATGTGATGACTTCTAATTGTAGCACCAGGCTCTGTGAAACTGCTTCAGGGATGAACCATGAGGAGGAAGATGCTCCTGACAGAATCACTGCAGATGAAAATAGTAATGATGATAAAGAAGGGTGTACAAAGAACAAACACTGGAATACTTGGGACTTATCCCTTCATCATCTGTCATGCATGCAGAATTATGTCAAATGACTCTTAAATACAGTGTTATGCTTATGCTGCCAGTAGGAACAAATACACACAGGATGCAACTCTCTGTAGGGGAAAGAATAATGTGGTAGATAGATGGTTTTCACTTCATGTTTTCTACTGTGGGCATTCTATAATGGATCACTTTCATATGAGAAACCTTAGTACGCATGATATGCAGCAATTATGGAGACAAGCAGGTTAGCTAGGCGTGCTGTTTTTGAGTTAAAAAGAAAAGAGCCAAGATTTCAATGAATTTTCAAATAAAGTGGTTCTTAGTCAACATAGCATTTAAATAATAAATTAAAAACACAAAATATGTCGTCCTTGGAATACCAATAGAAAGATTTTAGCTTATCTTTTAGAAAATGAAGAGTAAAAATATCAAGCACTCATTACTCAGCATCTCAAAAGGTTTCATGAGTAATGATTTTTTTTTAAAAAAAGGGAAAAGGAAAGAAAGAAAAGAAAAAATGATTTTTTTGGAATGCCCAAGAATGTTGTATTTAGGCTTTATCTATATGAGAAAAACAATGATGATTAGTTATTGGTAAGATTTGTCTCTAGCCAAATTGGTCACACTTAAGGAAACATTTACATTTAAAAAGTACATATAAATATGCAAACTTATTTAAATCTGATAATATGTGGATCAAACTTGAAGAATAGTCTAATGGACACCAAATCATTCATTTCTAACTGAAAGCCACAGTGAGATGATCTTTCTGGACAAAGACATTCTGGAATGAGTGTAATTGGAAACAAGCCAGTCATCAGATGTGAGGGATGCTTGCTGAATCTTGATGGAGGAATATGCATTCTCCAGGAGCACAAACTGACTTCTCTCTTGAAACATACAGATATGTAGGTAAAATATAAAACTGTCGAATCAAAGAATCCTGTCCCTGTGCTCTCCATAGAATCACTTTCTCAGGTAACTCTAACCAAGCAAGTGAAAGGCAAGAACTTCAAATTTTTGCAGAAAGAAATTGAAGAAGATATCAGAAGATGGAAAAAAACTTCCATGCTCATGGGTCAGTAGGATTAACATAGTAAAAATGACCATCCTATTTAAAGCAATCTACAGATTCCATACAATTCCCATCAAAATCCCAACACATTTTTTATATACCTTGAAAGAACAATACTCAACTTTATATGGAAAAACAAAAAATCCAGGATAGCCCAAACAATCCTGTACAATAAAAGAACTTGTGGAGGCATCACCATCACTAATTTCAAGCTCTACTAGAGAATAAAACTGTATAATATAGACATAAAAATAGATACAGTAATCAGTTGAATCAAATTGAAGACACAGACATAAATCCATAAATCCATATGCTTATGGACAAGTGATTTTCAATAAAAAGCCATATATACACAATGAAAAAAAAAGAAAGCATCTTCAACACTGTTGGTCTAACTGTGTATATGCATGTAAAATAATGCAAATGGATCATATCTGTCATCCTGCACAAAATTCCTGTCCAAGAGAATGAAAGGCCTCAACATAAACCTAGATACACTGAATCTGATAGAAGAGAACATGGAGGAATAGCCTTGACTGTATTGGCCCAGGAGACATCCTCATAAACAACCCTGATAGCACTGACACAAAGATCGGCAATTGGTAAGTGGGACCTCATGAATCTGAAAAGTATCTGTAAGGCAAAGACACCATGAATTGGACAAAGCAGCAGCCTACACAATTGGAAAGCATTTTCACTAACTCCATGTCTGACAGAGGCTAGTACCCAAAAATGTATAAAGAATTCAAGTAACTAGTCATCAACAATTCAAGTAATCCACTTAAAAAATGGGGTACAGATCTAAATTGAGAATTCTCAACAGATAAACTCAAATGGCAAGAAACACTTAAAGAAATATTCAACATCCTTAGCCCTCAGAGAAATGAAAATGAAAACAATTCAGGGATTCCATCTTACACCTGTCATATGGCTAAGATGAAAAAACAAAAGTGAGAGCTCATGCTGGCAAGGATGTGGAGTAAGAGGAACACACCTCCATTGCTGGTGGGAGTGCAAACTCTATAGCCACCTAGGAAACAAATATGGTGGTTTCTCAGAAGCTTGTAATTAATCTACATCAAGACCAAGATATACCACTCATGGGCATCCATCCAAATTGTGTTCCATCCTACCACAAGGATGGAACCTATGTTTATAGCAGCTTTATAATAGTCAGAAACTGGAAACAACTCAGATGTTTTTCACCCAAAGAATGGATAAAGAAAATGTGGTACATTTACACAGTGAAATATTACTCAGCTGTTAAAAAATTCATGAAAATTTGCAATAGTGGACATGCTACCTTAAATGCCCTTCTCCTATAATGAGACTGATGACTACCTTAAATGCCATCCTAGAACCTTCATCCAGTAGCTGATGGAAGCAGAAGTAGACACCCACAGCTAAGCACTGAGCCATACTCCTGGAATCCATTTGTAGAGAGGGAGGGGGGATGAGCAAAGGGGTCAAGATCATACTGGAGAAACCCACAGAAACAGATGACCTCACCAAGTGAGAGCCCACAGACCCCAGTTGTAATGTTGGGGACCCAGTTTTGGCCTCTGAATTTGGGTGCCAGTTGGAAGGCCTGGGCAGTCTATGGGTCCTCTGATAGTAGAACCAGTATTTATCCCTAGTTCACAAGTGGAGTTTGGAAGATCGTTCCCCAAGGAGGGATATGCTCTCATTCCAGATACAAAGAGGAGGGCTCTCCCCCAAATAATGTGACAGACTTTGATGAAGGCCTCACCCTCCTTGGAGGGGGAGTGGGAGTTTGGATGGGGAGGGTCAGTGTGAGGCATGGGAGCCTGGGAGGGAGAGGGAACTGGGATTGATATGCAAAATAAGATTGTTTCTAAATTAAATAAATAAATTTAATTTAAAAAGAAAATTTAAAATCAAATGGATGGAACTAGAAAAATTCATCTTGAGCGAGGTAAACCAGACCTAGAAATATAAACATGGTATATACTCACTTATAAGTCGATGTGGTAGTTTGAATGTAATTGGTGTAAGTGCCCACCCATAAGCTCATAGGGAGTGGCACTATTAGGAGGTATGGTCTTGTTGGAGTAGTGGCCTTGTTGGAGGAAGTGTATCACTGTCGGGGTGGGCTTTGAGGTCTCCTATGCTCAAGCTATGCCTAGTGCAGACACAGACTCCTTCTGCTGGCTGTGGATCAAGATGTACATCTTTCAGCTCCTTCTCCAGCTCCTTGTCTGCCTGTAGGTTGCCATGTCCCACCATGATGATAACAGTCTCAACCCGTGTAACTGTAAGCCACCCCAATTAAATGTTTTCCTTTTAAAGAGTTGCCATGGTCATGGTGTCTCTTCATAGCAAAAGAAACCCTACCTAAGACAGTGGTTATTATCTGTAAAGTAAAGGATAATCGTGTTACAATCCATAGACCTATAGAGGCTAAGTAACAAGGAGCGTCCAAGGGGGCATGGACACATGAATCTCTCTGGGAAGGTAAAATAAAACTGATCTTGTGGGTGGACTGGGGCTGGGTAGGGACAGGAACATGAGGGATCAGATGGGGGAATGGAGGAAGAGAGTGAAGGAAGAGGCAATTGGAATTGGAGAGTATTTTGGGGATTGAAGGAGGAAAAACTATTGCAATGGAAACACCCAGGAATCTATGAGGGTGACACTAGTTAAGACTCCTAGTAAGGGGGTATAGAGCCTGAACCAGCCATCTCCTGCAATACAGGTAAGACTTCCAGTGGAGGGATTGGGACACCAAAGCAAAATCTTTGAGCTGCAATTTGCCCTGTGTATAAGATATGTTGGGTTATATGTGCCACAGAAATTGTAGGAGTGGCCAATCAATGATTGGTTCAGTTTGATGCCCATGCTACCAGAGGAAGTCCATGCCAAAATCTGCCTGGAGGGACATGAATCAGAGGCTGGATAGCCCAGAGACATAGGACAGAAACAAACATGACTGACC